AAAAAAATCAACTGCCCCGCGCATCCAAACTATTACCACTTGTAACAATAACAATACAGTATTAACAACAACCATCCACTCTCAATTACATGTACAAAGATCACCAGACTTGGACACATAATAATTATGTGTCTAAATCTGGTGACCTTTTGTTCAAAAACTTTTGTCACGACTCGGTGACAAAAGAATCCTATTGATAGACAGGTCGACACGATAATGCCCATAATAAGATACTGCAGATACTACAAATGCCCACATCATTTTACATGACATTTTAGACAGAGACTGGGCCAGGCCCGTTTTTTAATGACATCGACATCTGAAGTCAGAAGATACGTGGTAAAATCAATGATTGTGGTTGTGACTATACAAGTAATAGTACATGTACTATTAGTACTGGTGGCCTAACTACAAGGTAGATCTAATTGTTGTTACTGTATTATTACATGATTATTGCTTGTTTCTTGTTATCTAACCTTAGGCCAAAATCCCAAGTACCGGGTAGTGGAAACGGTCAGGTTATTAGATCTAGACCTATTAGATTTATCCTCTAGGCCAAGACGACTGGTTCGACGCACGACCTTGAAAAACATTTACAGGTAGGTACGTTTTTGATTTTGAAGGTCACAGTTGAATTCGGTCACCCCCCCCCCCCCAACCAAATAAATAAATTGGTAGCTTTTGCCTCATCCACGAAGGAAAATCTGGCTCACCCCAGCTCAATGAAGAAGAATTCGATTGGCATTGTGCACTGCGCATTCGCATTCATTTTAATGTAGATCTGTATTATGCAACTGTCTGTCTATCTGTCTGTCTGTCAGTATGTCTGTCTCAGTAGTGTTTCTATCATGTAGCCCTACATGTACAATGTATCCCGATCGCAGGTTTGGTCTAGGTCTAGAGCAAACAGAAACCTTCTTAATTATCTACTGTTCATTGTTGTAAGGACTCCCGGAAATCTCGCTGAGTCACATCAGAGAGGTGGTCACACACAGTATACAGGGAGCTGTCTTCAAAATGACCGAATTCATCATGTATTCTTTTTTCACTTTTCACAATCTTTTACATGTTGTAGATTTGCAAAAACAAAAATAAAAAACAAACAAACATAGTTCTCTTGATCTATTTAATAATTTTGTGTTTTCCCACAGTAAATTTTATATTGTAATTCTCTGTCAAATAGAATGTTGGGTAAAGAAAAATTTGAAGAGGGGGGTGAGGAGGTAGATCCACACACGATGTACGTTGAGTAGGTCATGAAAACGGTCCGAGTCTGACGCAAGTCTTAACTTAAATATTAATACACACGTGTAATTCGAAAGAAAACCGTAGTCTATTGGGTGGAAAGCAGATCAGATAGATAATAAACTAATTTATAATAATCTAGATCTAGAAAGATTATAGTTAAAGTCCAACGCGTACATCCAGGGGTCTCAACTACATAATGGGGGCGACACCTGGGTCGCCGTGACGTCATGTCCG